TTTCACTACTGTCTAAAGTAGCCGTGTTATTATGATTATTATTAGGAGACTAATAATAACGAATATGATAAAAAGTTATTAGGGGGACTAATAACCGCGAATATGATAATAAGTTATCAGGGGGATTAATAATAGCGAATATGATGATAAGTTATTAGGGGGACTAATAATAGCGAATATGATAATAAGTTATCAGAGAGAGAGAGAAGGGGACAGAGAGAGAGGGGGAGAGAGAGAGAGGGGGAGAGAGAGAGAAAGAGGGGGCTTTTGTATTCGTGTGGGTGACGTGCTGCTCACCTGTTGTCCGTTTCAACAAGGTTTGGCATGAGTCTGCTTTTTTCGGCGTTTGTTTGTTTCAGTATTATTTTTTTTTTTTTTTTTTATTTTGTTTGTGTGTTTTCGATTTATTTTTTTTCTGGGGTGGGGGAGGGGGTGAGAGGGGTTTAAGGATGTAGTGAAGAAAAGCAGAGGATAAGGTGTAGTGGAGATTAAGAAGATAGAATAAGCAGAAACATAAGATAAAAGAATAATACAGAATAAAATGATAAACTAATGATAATGATATCAACATGGACATCATGTTCATGATAATATTGTTATTCGTTATCATAACAGTATATTTATAAATATGATGAACATAGCAATCATAGCAGCTGACATCACCTGATATGGAAACCACACCTGCTCGGTTAATGGCATGTATAGAATAAGTTATATGCTTAGTTTATGCGTTTGAAAGTATTTAGATAATATATCTAGTGTTTATTTATATTGTCATTAATTAGATATATTCAGTTGTCTTCACATGTGCTAACCTAAATGAGGATTCACTCATTATTATTATCATTATCATTGTTATTTTTTGTTGTTTATTCTTTTGGCCCTGTTATTTGTTATGTTTATTATAATTATTGTTTTTTATCGTTATTATTATTATTGTTATCGTAATTTTACAAGCTTTACACACACGCATAGAATATCGATGTGTTCTAAATAACCTTTTTTTTTATCAACAAAAGGGAATGAAATAAAAGTACTCAATTTGGCACATTACATTATTTTAATCTAGGTTGTATAGACTCGCAGACATAAACATATACTTCCTTAACTACAACACACTTAAGTAGACACAATAGCAACATATTTGGCCTCATTCTCTCAAATGCTCTATAAATTAAACCACTAATGTATACAGTTACACACCTTATAATTATATCTTACTGGCAGCTTCATTAGTATAGCTTCAAGGCATTACAGACTAGTATAACTACTGGCGAATCATATTTTAATCTTAATTGGCTATCAGTTATTGGCAGTTACACCTAAGAATCACAGATATTTTGAAATCCAGATATGACCTTTGACCTATTTTTTTCCCCTTCCTGTGATCTTATATGACCTTTTTCTAACCATTATATGACTAGAAACCTCAATCTTTCATTCGTAATGGACGTGCTACACAGGGACACAGTTAAAAGTCTAGTTTATTTGGAATTACATTAATTATGTAAGGTAATCCAATTTGGGAAAATATTGGTGATTATCCTGAAATTTAATTTTGTGGCTGTGATTTTATCATGATTTTCATTTTGAACATTTTTTTGTCCAGTTCACTACAGCAATCATTCATAAATACGAAAAATCTTTTTGTTTCTTCTTTACACACGTATCCGCAGTCGTCATCATAAATGGATTTAATTTTCAAAAAATAAATACACACACACACACTGATATGTATTTGCACACACACACACACACACACACACACACACACACACACACACACACACACATATATATATAAATATATATATATATATATATATATTGTTACGTTCATTAAACTGTGCACATTAGTTTCATTACTCTAAATGAGATCATTTGTGATAAATAAGCATACTTATGAATAAATATAATAAAACGTGCATTAGAAGACACGACGAGAACAGTAAGTCTTCAGGTGCATTTTTGGGTGTGAGAGAAAACCGGTAAGTCTTGAAGAAAAAGAGACGAAGACATGGAGGACGATGATAACGCCCACGAAGAGGGAGGAGACGAAGACGGAAGATAAGGCGACGAAGGGAATGGAAGAGGACGAAGACGATGACGAAGATAAGGACGAAGACGACGACGAAAAGAAATCAATAGAACGACGGCGATTACGAAGACGACGACGAAGAAGATGGAAGTCGAAGAAACAGAGGACGAAGATGACGACGAAAAAGCAAACAGACAAACAAGGAGACTCAGACGTAGACGAAGAAGAGACTCTTAAGCGACTCCTGAAGCCGTGATCTTCTCCGTGATCCAGTCGATATAACGGGAGACTCGGGTATAAAGACCAGGGACCCTCGGACGCCCACACCCGATGCCGTTGGACACCACGCCCACGCTGACCAAACGCCCCTGGGTGTCGCTGATGAGCAGGGGGCCGCCACTGTCTCCCTGTGGGCGGCGCGGGGGAGAGAAAGGGTTAGTGTGATGTGGGCGGGAGGTTTACCAGAAAAAAATGATATATCACATAGACCCTTCCTTAATATACTCTCCCTCCCTCCTCTTTTCCCTCTCCCCTTCTCCTCCCTCCCACCATCACCATCTCCTTCCTTCTTACCTCTTCCTCCCTCATCTTTCCCCTTTCCCCTCCTCCCTCTTCCTCTCTCCCTCCCACTTCCCCCCCCAACCCGATTCTCACCTGTTCCTTCCTCCCTCTCTCCTCTTCTTTCCCTCCCTCTTTCCCTCTCTCCTCCCTCTTCCCCCAACCCGATTCTCACCTGGCACGAGTCCTTGCCCCCCTCCTCCAGTCCGGCGCACAGGTGAGTGTCGTACAGAGCCACGGGACGACCGACTTCCTCGTGGTACCAGTCTTGACACTTGGCACGGGGCTGCACCTCCACCGTCACCTTCTGGAGGATGTCTGAAAGTTTGCCGTCTGCGAGAGAGAAAGAGAGAGAGGGAGAGGGAGAGGGAGAGGGAGGGGGGTGAGGGAAGGAGGGAGAGAGAGAGAGAGAGAGAGAGAGAGAGAATGAATTGTGGGAGGGAGGGAAGGAGAGAGAGGGAGAGAATAAATTATCATCTGTTAGGAATTTCCATGAGGTATAGAGGTATCTATATCTTTGTTCTTGATATTATATATTTCTTTCACCTTGATGCTAACTTTGTTACTGTTATTTCCATTATCATTATCACTGTCATCATCATTACCATTATCATCAATATCAACACCATCAACACCACTTCTGTAGAAAGGTATGAATGAGAATGAATATCTTCACAATACAAGGGATGTATTTGACCGGTTTCGAATATACATTCGAAAGAAATACATGAGAAATACATGTATTTCCAATGAAAATGTATTCGAAACCGGTCAAATACTGAGAAAGAAAGGGAGGAAGAATGAAAAGGGAGTGATAAAGAGAGAGAGAAAGAAAAGGGAGTGATAAAGAGCGAGAGAGAAAGTATAGGGAGGAAGAATGAAAAGGGAGTGATAAAGAGAGAGAGAGAAAGAAAGAAAAGGGAGGAAGAACGAAAAAGGGGCAATAAAGAGACACATTCTCTTGCATTGTGAAGATACTCCTTCTCATCCACACCTTTTTTCTACATCTGTCAACACGAACGCGGTTCTTCACCCCTCCTCATCCACTTACTGTTCTTCACTTCATCCGTGTTGCCCCAGCCGGCCACTGTCACGGGCTTGCCATCCAGGGGGTCATTGGGTCCGTCCACTTGCTTGTCGGGGAGGCAGACGGGGCGGACAAAGCGAGACCAAGTGGCGTCCTCCGTCAGCTGCAGGAGGGCTATGTCGTTGATGTACCGCTGGGGGGGTGAGAGAGGGATGGGGGTGTTGAGTGTGGGGGGTGATTGGGTGGGGAAGGGGAGGGGAAGGGAGGAGGGGGTGAGGGAGGGGAAGGGAGGTGGGGAATGGGAGGGGAGTGGAAGGGTGATTGGGTGGGAAGGGAGGGGATGGGGGGAAGGGGAGTGGAAGGGGTGATTGGGTGGGGAAGGAAGGGGAAGGGGGTTGGGAAGGGAAATAAATACTCAAATAAAAAAAAAAGAAAAAAACAAACACATTTGTTTACCTTCGACTAATTAAAATAATTACCTTTGAATAATTAGAATGCGAGATAATGTTACTGACAAGGTAGGGAAGGGAATAAAATACTCAAAAAAAAAAAAAAAAATTGTTACCTTTGACTAATTAAAATAATTACCTTTGAATAATTAGAATGCGAGATGATGTTACTGACAAGGTAGGGAAGGGAATAAATACTAAAAATAATAAAAAAAACATTTGTTTACCTTGACTAATTAAATAATTACCTTTGAATAATTAGAATGCGAGATAATGTTACTGACAAGGTAGGGAAGGGAATAAAAAAAAAAAAAAAAAAAAAAAATTGTTACCTTTGACTAATTAAAATAATTACCTTTGAATAATTAGAATGCGAGATGATGTTACTGACAAGGTAGGGAAGGGAATAAAATACTAAAAATAATAAAAAAAAACATTTGTTTACCTTTGACTAATTAAAATAATTACCTTTGAATAATTAGAATGCGAGATAATGTTACTGACAAGGTAGGGAAGGGAATAAAATACTAAAAATAATAAAAAAAAACATTTGTTTACCTTGACTAATTAAAATAATTACCTTTGAATAATTAGAATGCGAGATAATGTTACTGACAAGGTAGGGAAGGGAATAAAATACTAAAAATAATAAAAAAAAACATTTGTTTACCTTTGACTAATTAAAATAATTACCTTTGAATAATTAGAATGCGAGATAATGTTACTGACAAGGTAGGGAAGGGAATAAAATACTCAAAAAAAAAAAAAAAAAATGTTACCTTTGACTAATTAAAATAATTACCTTTGAATAATTAGAATGCGAGATGATGTTACTGACGCTGAGGACCTGTTCTGACTCTTGACCTTTCGAACTGAGGTCATGCTCGCCAGCTATCACCACTAAATACTTCGGTAAGTTTCTGCAATGAGAAAGGAGGAATTGGATAAAGAAGAAAAGGAAAAATATCTACAGGAAAATAAAGGAAATGCGAAAAGGTGTAAAAAAAAAAAAAAAAAAAAAGGAATGTGGATGCATATATTGGGGAAAAAATATTTGCATAAGAAATAAACCATGCATTTTTTTTTTTTTTTTTTTGAGGGGGGGGGGTCAAGTACAGGTGGTAAAAAATATATCATATTAAAATGCAAAATTGAATAAAAATTAAAAGAAAATTTATATATTATTTAAAAAGGGAGACTAAAACTATGAATATCTAGACCAGAATGTAGGAAAATAATCAAAATCAAGTTTAAAAAAAACGGAAATAAATACAGTAAAATACCTTCCCCTAAAAAGAAAAAGAAAAAAAAGGAACAGAGTAAAAGTAAAAAGAAAAAAAATCAAATAACTCAACCAAAAGAAAAAACAACTAAACCCTAAAAAAAAAAAAAAAGTACAGTAAAATACCTTCCCCTAAAAAGAAGAAGAAAAAAAAAAGGAACAGAGTAAAAGTAAAAAAAAAAAAAAAAAAAAAAAAAATCAAATAACTCAACCAAAAGAAAAAAACAACAACTAAAACCTAAAAAAAAAAAAAAAAAAAGATTCACTCACCTATGAACGCAATGCGCCGCGGTGAGGACAAACCGCTTGTGGATGAGCGACCCTCCGCAGTAGTGAGCGCTTCCGGGCCCAGCCACGCGTATGGACACCAGCCAAGGAAACTCTCCTGGATATGCATTTTCGCCGTTCTTAATCCTTCCTGCACGCGTTTGCGAACGTCCACAGCTGACGTCAGCCACTGCAACCACGCCGACAGAAAGACTGCGTTAGTTTATGGTTTGAGGGGGTGGAGAGCTAGGAATGTGTGCGTGTGTGCGTGTGTTTGTCAGGTTTTGAGACTGGGTGAAAAAAAAATCGTTGGGATGTGTTTTTGTGCGTTTATTAATGTTTATATAAATTTGTATATTCATTTATTTGATATTTTTAATGTTTTGAAATTCACTGAGTTGAATAACTTTGGATTTTAATGCAATTTGAGTTATTACAGTTATTGGGTACCTGTGAATCAATAAAATGATAAACGTATTTTTTGGTGTAAATTATAGTCACGATGAATAAAACAACTATAAAAGGACAGACAAAACAAAGAACAAAATTATTACACAAAAACTGTCGTAGATAAAAGGGATAGCCACGGAAGAACAAACATTTTTAACGGTCAGTTATCGAAAGAAAAAAAAAGTGAAGAAAAAAAATATCAACCTGTTTGTTTATAGATTAATTCTTGTTAATATCAACATGCCTTTGTTTTTTTTTATTAGATGGGGGGGAAAAAGGGACATCAATTGAACATGCTAGTGTCTGAATTGTTAATAAAAACAACGAACCAAAACAGAAAAAAGACAAAAAAAGACGAAATTCACACTTACCTGGGAATGGAGATTTACCTATCTGTTCACCTATAGTCGTTGCCCATGTCTTCTGACTTATGTCTGTCTGGCTGAAAATGGCTGGAAATTCATAGCTATGGGATGGTTTTTAAAAAAATTATCAGAGAATTAAAAAAAAGGTGGAGAGTAGAAATTGGGAGACGAAGGTAAAATTAATGAAAAATAAGATAAACAGAAAGGTATAGTATAGAGGATAGAAGTTTTCTTTGACATAAAGGGCAGACTCATGATTTAGAAATTGGGACTAAAATGACTGAGAGAAATGTAATGAAATATGAAACAGAGAAAAAGAGAGAGAGAAAAATTGTTGAGAGTATGATTTAATGGAGATAGCGAAAGAGGATAAGAAACAAGAAGTAAAAAAATATAGAAAATATAGAAAGATAAATCTGTAAGAACGAATGAAGAGATCAAGAAATGTAAATATATAAAAAGAAAGGAGATAGATGAATTATGTAATGATTAAAGACGTATATATTCCGTTAAGAGACTGAATTTTAAACTGTGCACAGCTACACCGAAAACTACCGTAAGGAAGGGTGTTAAAACATTTAATAACGAACAGAATTTTATGCTACGGAAGGGTTGGTATTTTGTGTTTCGAATCTGTCTCGTTTTGATTCATGTTTCGAAAAGTTGTTCCGAAATCTATATGAATACACTGTGAGATGATGATTCTATACCCGTAAAGGATGGAATATATACATATATATATATATATATATATATATATATATATATATATATATATACATATATATATATTTTTTTTTTTTTTTTTTTTTTTTTGTAATATTCAGATAAGCGACATATCTAAAAATAGTTACAAAATCAGGGATACCAACAGTTTCGTAGCGTTCACAATCATATTTCAAAAAGTATCGTTGATTGTGTCAGAATGTTTAGCATGATTTCCTAACGATATTTTTTCCGCGTAGCTGTACATGTACGAGTGAAAAAAAGTGCAAATCTATTTATCTATTACCTATCACTTGAACTTAAGTACTGATAATCATTAGAAAAGATAAATTTCAAAAATAAATGATCGATAAACAACCGATTTGAAAGACAGACAGATAAAAGTGTGGAGAAGAGGGACAAACAAAGACATAAGAAAGGTGTAGTTAAGAGAATAATAATGAAAAATAATAATAAATAAATAAAAGAAAAAAGAAAAGAAAAGAAAACCTTAATCAGACCAGACATGGTTTAATAAGACATAACGCTAATAGCAGATAATTAATTATTTTTTTTTCACGCAAGATGTGAAAAAAATGTGTTAATTATGAGTGCATTAAAGGTGGTTTTGGTGCAACTTAAACATAAATGTGTAGATTGACGTTGAAGTCGAAAAATGATTAATTTAATTTTGATTTTTTCCCCGTTTGGTTAAAGTTAATGGTGAGTATTTATTAGATTTTGTCATAATCGACTGGTTTGGATATATCAAGATCAATCTGAATTTGAATATTATCATTATCATATTGCAACTGTCATTATGGTTATATATCATTATTTTCATTATCTTTCTTATATTGTGGCTGTCATTTTTTTTATTACGTATCATTATCATTATCCTTATTATGTTTATGATTAATTTAGCTTATTGTTTTCATGTAATTTTATCATGTTTATATGCTATTTTAATCATTATTATTGTAACTATTAATTATCATTTCAACATTATTATTATTTACTATCATTGACTGTATTATCATTGCCATTATTATCGTCATTACCGTTATGATTATAACCATAATAACTATTATCACGATTTTTATTTTTATTCCACTTTTAGAAACAGTCGAATAAAATTAGTTTTAAATAGATTTTGGTAATAGATCTTATTCCCAATTTTACTTGCAATACGATAACTTTTTTTTTTTTTTTTTTTTTTTTTTTTTTTTTTTTTTAACATGGGCGTACTCTACGAACTACAAAAAGGAAATGATTTTCGATTTAATTATCCGTATTTTTATATATATTTTCTTCATTTTTTTTCAGGGATTGCAAATATTCCAAAAATGTCTACATTCTGTTCAAAAAGAGTGATTTTTGCAATTAACGTTTTTGAAAGCTTTTTGGTTGTTTTAGGGTTACAAGCCTATGTTTTTTTTTTTTTTTTTTTTTTTGTAGGCGTTACAAGCTTATGCTTTTTAAAAACTTTTTTGATTGTTTTAAGGGTTGGAAACCTGTTTAAATTTTTTTTTGAATGTTTAAAGGGTTACAAAGTCATGTTGTTTTTTAAAAATCTTTTTGATTAATTTAAAGGCTATTAACGTATGTTTTTTTTTTTAAATCTTTTTGGTTGTTTAAAGGGTTACAAAGTCATGTTTTTAAAAAATCTTTTTGATTATTGTAAAGGTTATTAACGTATGTTTTTAAAAAATCTTTTTGGCTGTTTTAATAGTTACAATCCTATGTTTTTTTTAAATCTTCTTGATTGTATTGAGGGTTACAAACCTATGTTTTTTTTTTTATGTTTGACTGTCTTAATGATTACAAACCTTTATTTTTGTTTTAAGAATTATCATTTTAAGGGTAATAAATAAAAAATATATATATTTTTACTGTTTGAGGTTTACAACCTATGTTTTTTTATCTGAACTTGGTCATCTTAAATCTGTCCATTAATTTATTTACTTTACTTTTTATTTTTTTATTTATCATTTATTTATTTATTTAATTTATTTTATTTTATCTTTTTCCATTTTTTTGCTCATTGAAGGATTTTTATTTGTTTTTATTTTGTTATTTTTTTTAAGACGCAAAAACCTACTACGTGGCTTGCAGAACTGACTGACTGACAGACTGACTGACTTGCTGACAGACTGACTTGCTGACAGTTTGACTTGCTGACAGACTGAGCTGACTTGCTGAGTGACTTGCTTGCTGACTGAGTGTTCTTTTAATTTTTTATTTATTTGTTAATTTGTTTTACTGAAAATAACTTGTCTCTTTGAAGCTCTGATTGACTCATTGAATTTAAAAGACTGATTAATGACTGATTAATGACTGATTGACTGAAAGGTTGACTGACCGAGTAATAATACTTACTCATTAAAAAAAAAAAAGTTAGCGTAACACCAAAACTTTTCCGTCATTTTATTGAACTAAAAATATTTTAAAAAGCGTGTTTTGTGAAATTAATACAAATGTAAATAGATAAGATAATCAAGTCTATGATTACCTGAATAATTAAAGTTAAATATACGTTACAGTTAAAATTCCAAATATTTATGCAACTATTTTTTTTTCATCTAATATATATATTTATATCTTAATATATATATATATATATATATTATATATAATATATATATATATATATATATATATTATATATATAACTGCATATATAATTTCTCAGGAATTTTCAAAATGACGGAAAAGTTTAGTTAGTGTTAGTTAGTATTAGGGTATCCTGATAAGTGTTTTGGTGAAGACACGTGCTTAACCTAGTGTACTATCTATGTTTTGTTCATTCCTAAGCTTGTGACCACATGTACACTCGTCGTGCATTTAATCGCCCTCTTTCTCTCTCTCTTTCTTTTTTTTTCTTTCTCTCTGTCTCTGTCTCTGTCTCTGTCTCTCTCTCTCTCTCGCACGCACACACACGCACACACGCACATATACATACACATAAACATAATTATAATATATATATATATATATATATATATATATATATATATATATATATATATATATATATATATGTATGTATTTACATATATACATATATGCACACACACACACACACACACACACACACACACATACACATATACACACATATATATATATATATACATATATATATATATATATATATATATATATATATATATATATATATATATATATATATATATATATGTATATGTATGTATGTGTGTATATATATATATACACACAAACACACAAACACACACACACATATATATGTATGCATACACATGTGGTAACAATTCACTCTCTCCCCTTTCATCAGACCTACCCCCCCCCCCCCCCCCCTGTGTCCCTCCACTTACCGTCGACGAAAAGAAAAGAAAAATCATGCAAGTGTTTCCAGCAAGAAAAGTCACCGAGCGAAGAATCCATTTATTTTCGCCTCTCGTGACTTGGCAAAATTCCATTTTTCTTTAAACAAGATTATCTTTCTCAAATCAAAGAAAATATTATGTTTTTTCCAGGTATTACATTCAATGTTTATCTAATTCATTTCTTAATTGTATATTTATATCTTCAATAACTTTGAGAGGAATTATATTTAAAAAAATGGGATTTTGCCACAATTCTTCAATGTTAGTCGTTGTGTCCTCAGTCTGACCAATCAAGAACCGGG